TTATGTTATTACAAGCAAATATGACTATATATATTTGCTTTCCTTTTTTTTTTTGTACAAAAGTAGCACAGTACCACATATACATAGTATTGTGCCCTAGGCATAATAGTATTTGGGAATTCTTTTTTTTTTTAATTTAATTTAATTTTATTTTATTTTTTTGGCTGCGTTTGGGTCTTCATTGCTGCGTGTGGGCTTTTCTCTGGTTGCGGCGAGCGGGGGCTACTCTTCGTTGCAGTGCACGGGCTTCTCACTGCAGTGGCTTCTCCTGTTGCGGAGCACGGGCTCTAGGGCGCGGGCTTCAATAGTTGTGGCGCACGGGCTTAGTTGCTCCACGGCATGTGGGATCTTCCCGAACCAGGGCTCAAACCCGTGTCCCCTGCATTGGCAGGCAGATTCTTAACTACTGCGTCACCAGGGAAGCCCCAGTATTTGGGAATTCTTACCTTATCAGTAGACAGGGAGCTTCCTGATGCCTTTTTGCATCTGCACAGTGGTCCATTAGGTGGATGTAGCATGGTTTATTTTTAGCTGACTCCTTGGCTATTTAGGTTGTTTTGGCATTACAAACAGTGCTAGAATGAAAAATGTCCCCAAAGAAATCATATGAATGATAGTTGAAAGTGCCCTGGGTCCACAGATTGCACTGTCTTCCAGGTGCCAGTCGCTGGTTAATGAACAGCAAGAGAGCCCGTACTCTTGTGTGAATAAGGTCTAGGCGTTTTGCCAGGTCTTGTCTTGTGACCTCTCACTACCAGCTACTAAGCAGTTTGAACTTGGAGCCTCAGAAGAATCCTCTTCCTGAAAAGTCTCTTGCTTTCACTTTGGTAATAGGCTTGGGGGTGAGGGTGGATAGAGCTGGGGAATGGAAGTGGGTCACACACCACGCGTGCAAAGGACAGGTGTGGCCGCTTGAGGGTGGCAGGCATGGTCTGGTTGTGCCAGAAGAAAGGCAACTCTTGGACCCACATTCCTGCCTTAGGAGGCAGGAACTGGGCTCCTAGGGCCAACACTCACCCCTCTTGAAACTGCTGGTGTACTTTCACCGCCACCCTGTGCCTGTAGGCAGAGAGGATGAAAAACACCAACAGGCTTAACTAGGAGCACGTGGGTGGGACAGTGGCTCGGACATTTTCCCTCCTCTATTTCTCACAGGTTCTTTTTGCAATGACGTCACAATACAATGGAAAAAAAATAAATTGTTTTAAAACTGTAAAACAACTATAAATCAGGCATCATGATTTTTTTTCTTTACTGAGCCCTCATGTGTGTCCCCTGCTTCATTAACATTGCAGGGGGTGTCAGGGAGGATGGGACAGAGGTGGAGAGGAGCCCAGCCCTGTCTTGGGGGAGTTCACAGCCCAGGTGGAAAGAGGTTCTCTTACATGCCAGCAGTTTGCAGAGACACACATGAAGGACAGACCAGGACCTTTTCAACTCTTTCATTTTTAACGGTGATCAAATACATACAACATAAAATTTGCCTAGAAGTGGAATTGCTGGATCATATACTAATTCTGTTTTTAATTTTTGAGGAACCACCACACGGTTTTCCGTAGTGGCTGCGTCATATTCTGCATGACCACCGACAGTGCACAGCGGTTCCAACTTCTCTACATTTCTCATTCACACTTTTTTTTTAATAGTGGCCGTCTTAATGAATGTGAAGAGTGGTTTAAACTTTTTTGACCACCACCCACTGTAAAAAATATAGTTTACATCTAACCTACAGGGTATACACATGCACATACCTGTAGCTAAAACAGAAGTTTTGCAAAACAAATTACGCTTATAAACATGGGAGGTACTCTAACTTTCTGTTCTGTACTAGTCTATGTAATACAAAAAAATGCTAGTCATGACATTGCTTTCATGATCCACTCATGGGTCACAACTGTAGCTTGCAGAACACTGGCACAGGGAGTGCTGTGGAGATTGTGTACTTTCCCTAGAGGCCTGGGAGAATATGACCTGGGAGATCATCCCCTCGCCCCTTCCCACACACAGGTGCGCTCTCTGATCCGGCTCTCCTCCCTTTCTGTAAAGATGTTGAGAAAAAGAAACCCGGGAAACAAGGAGGAGGGAAGGAAATCAGTCCATTATAGCCAATGATTTGGGAGCCCACATTTCACATGAAAGCACTCGATACCAAGAAGAGCCCCACCTCAGGGTCCCGGTCCCCAGCACATGGCCTGTCGTGCGGGGCTTTCCCTGCCTTCCCCAGCCTGGGCTCGGCCAGGTAATCCCTGCTGTTCGCCCCGTGAGGGTGGGCCTGACCATGTCGCCCACCACATGGGAGGGACAGAGCTTGTCCTGAGGAAGGCACATCCCTGGCCTCATCCTCTTACAGCCCAGTGCCTGGCTTTTCTCTGCTCAACCCAGAGCCCCCTCCAGCTGTGTGGGAGTCCCCTTCCTTCACTGGGTGGGCCGACCGCAGGCTACTGATGGATGGTCATCCACTGAGCGCACAGGGCCTGTGAGGTGCCAAGGGGTCAGGATTGCAGGCAGGAGTGGCAGGCCAGGGCCCCTGGATTGAGCCCCGGAGGCTGGGCCTCCCCTTTCGGAGGGACACTCGCCACGTCACCCACTTGGTTTCAGCAAAAGGTCCGGCTTATTCTTCAGTGTCACACGGTAGAGAAAGATGGTGCAGAGGGATGTTAAAGGATACAGTGGGTGCAGGAAGGGAACTTGCATTTCAAAAACATGATTCAAGCCCTGGTCCAGGCCCTTATTAGGTATGTGACCTTAGGAAATCACTTCACCTCTTTGTGCCTCGGTTTCCTTCTCTGTAGATAGGCAATAATCGTAATATAGCACCATCCTCTTTTCTTTAACGATAATCTTATTGTAAAATTCACATAAGAAAATTCACCATTTTAACTATTTTAAAGTGTACAATCCAGTGACATTTAGCACACTCACAATCTGGCACAACCACCCCCTCTAGTTCCAGAGTACTTTCATTACCACAAAAGGAAACCCAGTACCCATGAAGCAGTCACTCCTCACTTCCCCTCCCCCAGCCCCTGGCAACCACCAATCTGCTGTCTCCGTGCATTGGCACCTCTGAATATTTCATATAAATGGAATCATACAGTATGTATTCTTCTGTGGCTGGCTTTTCACTTAGCCTGATGTGTTCAAGGTTCATCCACGTTGTGTGTGTCAGAACTTTATTCCTTTTTATGGCTGGATAATATTCCCCTGAATGGCTGTCCCGCATTTTGTTTATCCATTCATTAGCTGATGGACATTTGGGTTGTTTCCACCTTTTGGCTATTGTGAACAGGTGACAGGGAGGCCAGTGTCAGCTCAGTGGAAGGATTTCCTCCCTGTTATGACTTTGCAGCTGGAGACGAACCGCTTCCGTTAGTAGTGAGCACTTTGTCCCTGGAGTTGTCTAGGCTGGGCCTGTTGTCACACGAGCCTTGAGCTGTTGGGCAGTGTGATCCCTGAGGTCATCTTTCAGCCCCGTTAGGATGCACAGGCATTGAAGTGGTCCCTGGATGCCAGCATCTCAGGGTCACAAGGGAGTGAAGTCATGGAGGCTGTGGGGAGGATTTCTGGTCCCCAATAGGCTCTGGGCTTTGGACTGGGCAGCCTGCACCTGTTTCTGGGTGAGGCCTTGGGGACTGGGCTGACCCCAGGCCTGGGAACCTGGCCCTTGTCCTGCTGCCTGGTCATTTCTGACTACCCTCATTTCCTGACTTTGCAGCCAGAGGAGGCACAGAGGGCCCAGGTGCAGGCCCCAGGATTGACTGTGGTACAGCCGGTGCCAGGGGCACACCCTGTGCCAGTGTACGCCTACTCCATCAAAGACCCCTCCTGCAGAGAGGTAAGCTTCTCCCCCGCCCTCCCCTCCCCTCCCCTCCCGAGGGCCCAGATCCTCCTAGGCGGTAAGAGGTGGAGCTGAAGTGAGAATCCAGACCTCAATAGGCACCTGCTCTACGCTCTCCCTGCTCTTGGTTGCCCTGTCAGGAAGCTCCTCTCCAAGCATGAGCCCCTCCCAGGGCAGTCAGAAGCCAGCAGAGGTCGGTGGTCAGTGGTCACCAGCAGGGCCAGTGTGCATGCTGACCTGGGAGGGCATCCTTTATAGAGAGGCGTGATCTGAGTGGCAGATAGCAGAGAGAAGAGCAGGAGCAAAGGGCACGGGGGGCACATGTTCCTGCCACCCAGGTCTGGTCTCTGCCCGCTGCCCCAGTGGGAGGCTCCTGACGCTACCCTGTGACTCCCCGCTGCACAGGAGGTCTCCAACACAGCCACACCACAGAAGAGGAAGTCCTGCCAGACTGAGTGCCCCAGGAAGGTCATCAAGATGGAGTCTGAGGAGGAGAAAGAGTCAAGGTTGGCTCGGAGCTCCCCTGAGCAGCCCAGGCCCAGCACCTCCAAGGCAGTCTCGCCACCCCGCCTGGACAGGTCCCCCAGCCCTAAGACCCCCGTCATAGGAAATGAGACCTTCCTGCCTGACAGCAACCATGCGACCAGCGACCCTGGGGAGGCAGGTAGGGAGGTGGGTGGGCAGCAGAGGCTGAGGCCTGCACGCTGTCCTCCAGGGGCTGGGTGGGACCCCTCTTCTGCATCCTGACCCTACCCACGGAGCCCAAAGCCAACGGCGTTCCCTGTGTGTCCTGCCCTCAGCTGCCACCAAGCAGGGAAGGGAAAGCCCAGGGTTTGTCTGGGGCATGAGAGTGGATAGTTTAGCTAGCCTGTGTTTTGCTGGGATGCCAGTGAGATGAGCGTGACGGGCCAAAGACCACACCTCCTTAGTTCCTTCCCCTAACACAGTCTTCGCACTCTTACAGAACCCAGCACTGTGCCTCTGCATGGGGTGGGTCTCCCCAAGAAATGTTTGTTGGTGGGTGCCTGGTATGTGCTCGGAGAGGACTTGGGTAAAGTCCACACCCATCGGTTCCCAAATTTTTCTGCCACCTGCCCAAGGTACCTCGTTTGTCCTAGATACCTTTTACGGCCCCTGCCAGAGAGGGAGTCCTTTCATGTGAGTTGAGGTCAACCCATAGAATTCTGGAATGTTCAAGACAGTTCTTCCTGGATCTGTTTTACCCAGAGTCCAGCTTTATTTTCATTCTAGGTCCCACACTGACCCCTGTTCCTGGTCACACTGAACCCCGACCCTGGTCACACTGACACTCAGCCCTGACTGTTAATCCTTGCTCACAAATACTGTTGGTCATCAGAAGGTTTTGATTAACCTAGATAAAGTATCTTTTTTAAAAACTAATTAAGTTGTTTCTTTATTTATTGGCTGCGTTGGGTCTTTGTCGCTGCACACAGGCTTTCTCTAGTTGTGGCGAGCGGGGGCTACTCTTCGTTCTGGTGCGCGGGCTTCTCATTGCGGTGGCTTCTCTTATTGCGGAGCATGGGCTCTAGGCACGCAGGCTTCAGTAGTTGTGGCACGCGGGCTCAGTAGCTGTGGCTCGTGGGCTCTAGAGCGCAGGCTCAGTAGTTGTGGTGCACGGGCTTAGTTGCTCTGGGGCATGTGGGATCTTCCCGGACCAGGGCTCAAACCTGTGTCCCCTGCATTGGCAGGCGGATTCTTAACCACTGCGCCACCAGGGAAGCCCGATAAAGTATCTTTTAACTCAAACATCTTGTGGCTTACGGAGCTGAGAAGTGGAACAAACCAGTGTGCCGCTTTAGGACGGCAAAAGGTTCCAAACCAGGTGGTGCTTGTCACGCCCCCTCCACAGGTAGTAAATTCTGAATCACTCCAGGGCCAACAGCTGAGTTAAGTGTTCACAGGCAAGGCACAGTACGCAGTGATGGAAAGCCACCATGAATAACCCCTCTGCACAAGCAGAGCCACACTGGCACACACGCTGGACATTCACATCCCCCGTTGCAGGGCACACGTCACCCACCCAGTTCACTGGCCTGCAAGGATTCCCACGGGAGAACACCCTGGGCCCCATCCACGGGCATCCCTGGCAGGCCCTAACATTGTCTCCCCTACCCCGTTTCAGAGGAGCGTGTCGTGGTGATCAGCAGCTCGGAAGACTCAGATGCCGAAAACTCGGTGAGTGGCTCAGAAGTTCGGCCTAGGACTCCTGCCTCCCCCCATTCCAGGCCCCAGGGGGCGCAGCCCCAGCAGGTGACTCTCAGACTCGCGTTGCGCCTGGGGAATTTACCAGCAAGGCAGTGAGTCCTGAGCTGTCCAGAGGATAGTCTCCAAATGCCAGCTGTGGTCTGGATCACTCTGACCCTCCCTCCATACCAGGGCAGGAGCCTTCAGTAATCACATGTACTCTTCTGAAAAGCTGGGAGAGGGCTTCCTTCCAGGGCTCTGTCTCATTTCTGGACTAGCCAATGCCTGTGTCTGGAGCTTCCTTATGCATTTTCTGCCCTCTTAAGTCCTCGGTGAGGAGGGCGGACAAGCGTTCATTCCCTGGTTAATGGCAGCTGTTGAGGGCTCTGGGGGTGTGAGGGCACAGGGCAGCCCCATGCAGGGCCCAAACAAGCACGTGGTGACTCCATGTAAGAAGAACTTCTTTAAAGCCATCCCACAATGGAACAAGTGATCTTACAGGTTGTGACCCTTCTGTCCCTGGAGGTTTGTTAATGGAGGCTGGGCTGTCACCTGTCCAGGGGCAAAAGGGATCGGAATAGAGTGGAAGGTTGGACTGGGTGGCCCCTGAGGTCCCTTCCAGCCCTCAGTCTGAGGTTCTGTGTTGGAAAGCGTATGGAGCCCACGGAGACCGTCGCACCTCCCTCCTCGCCAGCCCAGCCTACGCCGAGAGCTCGCCAAGCGTCCCACCCCTGCTGGGCCTCTCATCTGCCCCGTGGCACATGCCGACCCCCCGCTTGGCCTCCCCACCATCCTGCAGAGCAAGCTGCCGTCCCTGATGCTGAGTGTCCCGGACAGCCTGCCGCTCACCAGGAGCAAGCTGCCGTCCACCGTGGGATCAACTTCCTATCACGCAGAGCACAAAGAAACCCGCGCCTTCGCCATATCTTCCGCCTGCCCCTCAGAGTGTATTGTGCCCCCATGTGGACTTGTTCTCCCTCCCAAGGGCCAGTCCAGGCCACCACCCCGGCCACCACCGGGACTCCCAGCCAACCTGCCGGTCCCCAGGAGTGTCCCGCCCGCCTAACAACGGCCAACAGCCAACCCCGCCGGGCGGGACGGGCAGCACGATCCCGCGGCCGCTCCCTCCGGGGCTCCCCGCGTGTGGCCCAGTGGCTCAACAACTTCTTTGCCCTTCCGCTCTCCTCTGTGGCTCCCCAACTTGATGCCTCTCTCAGGGGGGGGCTCGGGGGAGGCAGAGCACCCCAGACTCTTGGAGCAGGAGTCTCTCCTGGGGACTCTGGCAGAGCCCCCATGGAGAATCCCCAAGTCCAGGTCCCACTGGAAGTCCCTCCAAATGCATTCCCACCACCCCACCCTGCAAATAGGCCTCCCACAAGCACGGGCCCCCCGCAGACAAGCCTCTGAGAGCCCAAGTGCCTCCCTCCTCTGCAGCCCTGACCCTGGTCACCTTCCTCTTGTAACCATGTGGCCAACACACCCCCTCTGCTCCCCAAGCCCCTCCACCCTGCTGCCCAGCCCAGCCCACGCACCTAAAGGCCCTACACACAGTAGGCATCCAGTACATCATCAGAGAGTGAACAAGGGAATGAATGGCTCCATGGACCTCTGGGTAAAGAGACAAGTCCTCCCCAGCCAGGGGGTTGTGACTGAGATTCAGGCCCTTGTTCCTCACATCCTCAGGCCTCTTTGCCCAAGACAAGGAAGCTTCTCTCACCCTTTGCACCTCCCACTGCCCCATCCCCCCACCCCAAGCCTTCCCACTGGGCCTCTGCCAGGATGTAAGCCCACTGAGGGCAGGGACTGTGTCGCTCCCAGGCCCTGGCAGGTGCGGCTGCTCAATAAATACTTGTTGAACGATCACCCTTGCAAACCCTTCTTCCATGACCATCAGATTCCCTGCTGGGCTTAGCCCTTCCCTGCAGGTGTTTTTTCTCTCCTCCCTGCACTGACTGCTTGGTTCACCTGTGGGGCTGCTATGTCCCTCTTTCCCCCACACCCTGGGAGCATCAGAGGTGGGAGGTAGGTTCCAGGCCTTCTGTGCCTCCTGTTTGGGTCCCACCGTCTGGCAAGATCCCCTGTGCCTTTGAGGTTTGGGCTCTCCAGATGAACCCCACTTGCCCCAGCTCATCTCAGACATCCTCCTGCCTTCCCCCACGTAGGAAGACTGCCTCCTAGGTTTCCTCTCCCCACGCAGGTCCAGCCTTCCTGGGTGGCTTCAACATCCACCACCCTGGGCTCTCCTCACCTTGAGCTTTCAGGGATCTTTGCCCCATTCCCCTGCAGCTGCCAATCCCATCCCCCACGCCCCCTCCCACCAGACCTCGCCATCACTGAGAACTTTCCATCTCTAAACTGTCCCACGCAGACTCTGACCACAGCCTCCTGCTTGAGCTCTCAACCCATTCCTTCCAGGACCTCTGCCCTCTCCCTCCCAGCTCCTTCTGCCTCTGCCTCTGCCTCCTGCCCACCAGCCAGCAAGGCCCCCCATTTCAGCCAACCTTTCACCAGGATCTCAGTGCCCTGCCTCCCCCACCCGCCGGCGTCCTGGTAGCCTGCCCTCCAAAGACAGCCCTGGAAGGATTTGGTAGCGTTCCCCTGCTCCACGCCGCCACCAGGAGGCCGACTTGTGTTGGAGAAAAGTCAAGGCGAGGAAAGCTACAAATGATTGTCTCCTGGGCTCCCTGGCTTCCTGCCTCAGCACGCCCCTCTGCTCTCCACGGCCCCTCGCTGCACCTCCACTTCCCTAGCTCTGGTCCCTCATCCCCGCCCTGCTCGCTCTTGCCAGGTGGCTGCACCCTCTGCCCTCGGAGGTTGACAGGTGGCATGGGAGCAGCCCCCGTCTCGCTCTCTGATGACAGATTGACCCGACCTGGTTACATCCTTCCCCCGTTCCTTCTGTTAGGGTGGTGGGGATGGCCACCTCCCTGTAGGACTCACTTCCCCTCTTCCTGGCCCCGCCCTCCTGTCTCCTTGGGAGCCTACTGCATCTCCCCATGCTCATTTGTGTCTTCAAACACTTTCTATGGGCTACAGCTAGGCACCCTGAAGAAAGTCTTTCCTATCTCTGCAACCCCCACCCCGGACCTTCACCCCCTTGGTGCTCCTTCCTCACCCCACTCCCCTGCCCTTCCCCACCATGCCAGTGAGCCCTGCCACCAGCGCCAAGGTAACCTCCACACCTCCGAGTCCAGTGGTCGCCTTCAGTCCTAACTCCCCGAAAGACTCTGCTTCCCTTGGGTTCAGGACACTTCCTCCTGCAGCTCTGGCTGCTCCTCCCTACTCCCCCTTCAGGTCTCCGTGTTCTTTTAACTGTTGTTCTCTGGCTTAGGTCTGGGCCTTCTTCTCTTTCTAGTCTGTGTACTCCCCCCGCCCCCACACCACTCCCTGTGATCTCAGCCACACCCACGTCTTCACTATGGGCTCATGCCCGCAGGACCAATAGAGCCAATGGCGTCCTGACAGCTCCACTCAGATGCCCCATAGAAGCCTCGAACTCGCCTCTCCTCCTCTCCTCTCAGTAAATTGCACCATCTGCCTAGTTACAGAAGCCAAGACCCCAGAGCTGCCCAGGACTCCCCCTGTGCTTTTTATTATTCCTCACAGCCAATCACTTTTTGAGTCTTTCCATGTTCTAAATTCCTCTGAAATCTGGACACTTCTTTCTATTCCATAATCTTGATAAAATTAAAATAAGACTGACCTTGGGTAGAGACAGAAGCCTGGGAAGGAAAGAGCGAGAAAAGGATTGGAACGCCCTTAGTCCTGTCAGACGTCATGAGTGCCAGGTGGAGGCACTGATACCAGCAATATTTTGGGGGTGGGGTGGGACAGGGGTGGTTAGTCTAGTGCTCAGCTGTCAGCAAGGAGCCACTGGGTGATATCTGAGGTTGATCAACTCAGGAAGGAGAAGCACATTTCAGGTTAGGAAGAATTAGACGATTAGAAGCAGCTGCTCACCTTTGGCGAGCCAGTCTGGAGGCAAGAGAGCCAGAGGATCACTGCCTTTGTGTAGGGCTTCTTCAGACGTTTTTCAAATCAACCATTACACGAGTCCAAAACTTGTTGGGGAAAAAAAAAATTAAAAAGAACACAAATTAGATCCCCCTAAGTAGGTGCATCTTTCACCCACCTTCCATACCCCCTTCCAGATCCCTGGTGCTCCCAGAGTTCTTTGGAGGAAGGGAGCAGGGCAACATTTGCAGGGTGCTCCAGACTCCCCTGTCCTCCCCTCCCTGCAGCCTTTATCTAACCTGCCAGTGTGTGAGAGCTGTAGAAAACTGGTCTGCTAAGATAGTGTGTTTCCAAGTGTACCAGGGTGTGTAGGCCCCCTGCTCGGGCTGCAGCTGTGTCAGTGGCTGGAATCGAGACGCGGGGGGCAGGTCGGTTCTGGCACAGACCTGGCATGGTGGGCAGGGCTGGGGAGAGGCTGCCTGGGCAGCAGGGGTGCTCTGTAGGAGACCTCGCCCCTGCTGGGAGAGGCAGTGGGGCTGTAGTCTTGGGGTGGAGGGGCGAGACACAGGTCTGATGCTGGAGACCTGGAGTGAGAGGACTGTGCTTAAAAATGAGGTGGGTCAGACACATGTCTGCTGCGGGCCCTGTGTTAACGGATCCGAAGCAGAAAAAGATAGATGCTCTCATCCACTCTTCGGACGGAAGACTCACCCCAGTGCCCGATAGCAGCAGGACCAAGTGGAATCAGCAGGAGGCCTAGCCGAGGGGGCAGCCCCTGGCAGAAGTGGCAGTGGTGACCGGCAGTGGAAGGGAGGCCTGTGGGGAGCACCTGATCCAGGGGAGGGACCGTGATGCTGGTGAATGAGTGTATCAGAAAAGTAAACAGGTGCTCAGCTGCGAAGATGGGAGCCGTGTCCTCCAATGGGCAGCAGCAGCCTGCAGAGCAGTGGGCAGAGGGCAGTAGGGGCCACAGGCTGGCTAATGGGACCATTTAGGTTAACAGATAACATGTGAAGTGTCTCTGGGGCCTTCAGGCTTCGCAAGAGCTGTGGTTTTGTGTCTGCAAAACACACCAGTGTGCGTCTTGCCGCACTGATCCCAGCTGTTGCTTAAGCTCGGGTGCTAAGAAAGTTCCTCAGGAGCTGGGGACTCTTGATTAGTATTAATGTCAGATACTAGATAGGTATCTTCAGGTGGGGATGTTAAATATCAAAGAGTTTGGCTCCTGTCTGATTTGCTGATGCCCGAACGTGGAATAAATCAGTCATTAGGACAGTGGTTGCCAATCCTGGCTGCACACTGGTGTCACTTGGGGGGTTTTACCCAGGACGGATTCCTGGGTCCCACCCCCCAGAGATTCTAACTGACTTGGTCTGGGGTGCAGCCTGGACATCAAGATTTTTTTAAGCTGCTATGCACAACCAAGGTAGAGACTCACTAAATTGGGGGAGTCAATGGCACATCTGTGTCAGAGAAATGCCGCCCATTTGTATACGTATCAGCCTTGAGCAGAAGCGAGGTGTACATCGCTGGGATATGATCCAGGTGTGGAGGGGAAATACTGGCTCTTCCCAGATAAACCTCCTAGACTTCTGGAAGGTGATGTCAACCCAGCTGCTTCCTATGAGCACCTTGGAATGGCCATTACACCTGCTGTGTTGAGTTGGGATGTGATTGATCTGCTAAGTTGACTGTGATGAAGATAAGTGAAATAGAGCTCATGAACCTGATCGCCTGTGTGTCCTAGTTGCCTGTGTATCCCGAAAAAAAATCCCAGATCCCACGTGGCTCGGTCTGAACACAGTTTTGCAGTCAAAGAAACACAGTCCATTAACCAAGTGTCCAGTATTTACTCACATCTTTCAAAGACTATTGCAGGGGATCCAACTCACACCTCACAGCAGCGCTCCTTAAATCCTCCACCACTTCACTCTAGCCCCATCATGTGCCAATCCCTGGCCCCTCAAAGCCTCATCCCACTTTCCACTTAGAGTCCTCACACATGGGCTCTGGTCTCTTCCCCACTCCAGTTCCTTCTGCTGCCACTCCTTTCCCTTCCAAGCAAATCTCAGCTTTTTCCAATGAAAGGCCCTCTCCTAGATTCTTGGGTTCTGGTCTCTGCCACTCTCCCTCTCTATCCCCCGCCTCCCCATTATCCTGATTATGGAATAAGGTCGGGAAGTGGCAGTGTCGGGCTGTGGAACAGGGGCAGAAAATGAGCAGGGCCAGAAAGCCATCCTTCACTGGAGCCTCTTATGTGCTGATTCTGTTAAGTCTGGGTCTTTAAAAAAAAAGTCTTTTTTAATTGTGTCAGTACTTCCCAGCTGTACTGCTGGGATTTAAGGCAGGGAGGGGGAATTCCCTTTACACCTGGCTGGAGCTCAGTGGGAGGCATTCCAGTGAGACCAGTCCCATGGGGTAGCCAGACTTTATGGAAGTTCCCAAGGACTTCCCAGAGGAATCTGGGAGGAAAAGGAGTCACGGCTGGAAGATTCAGCCCTCCCTCCCTCGACAACTCAGCGGAAAGGGGTGTCCTTTTATGAAGGGAGCCAGCAGGTCTTCAGTAAGTTCAGGACGAAGGATATTTCCATGACTATAAAAGAGAAAATGACCCCAGGACCATGGGAGGCTCTTAAAAAATGAGGTTCTCATGGCTATCATAAATGACCCTGGTATAAAGATGGGGGAGTTAGCTCAAGGATGCAGCTGTGCTGCTTGCCAGGGAGCTCAACCCTTGGAGGAGAATATCTGAAGAGAAGACTCTGGCCCTACAGCCTGAAGAGACAGTACCAGAAGACAGATGGAAGCACCCTGGGCCACTGCAAGGGCTTCTGCAGTTTAGAGCAAAGAGAAGAAGGAAGAAGGGAAAGCCCAGCGTACTGTGTCAGTGGGTGGCAGAGAGGACTTGGCCAAGGGGACAGCTCTTCAGCCGAAGCCCAGGGGAGGCCATAGCAAGGGGAGTCCAGCTCTTTCCACCAGCCCAAGTGTGAGAGCACCCCAGCCTTGTGATCAGAACAGGCACTGGAAGATTGGAGATAGAAAACAACTTGATTCTCCCATGGGGGAAGAAGGCGGCGTCTCCTGTCTACAGGCTAGCAACTTTAAGGAAGACTCCTGGAGAAGGCTCCTCATAGGGAGGCAAGGGAGCCGTGACAGCGAGACAGAGACTCAGAGCAAGACAGGCCAAATGGATGTATGGTCAAATCGAGAATACAGATATGCAAGGCATATCTTTTGTCAAATTAGGGCCTCAGGTATAAAGTCCCAGAACTCACAGGCTGCTGTAAGAAACACCAGCTCTAGATGGACTCGTAGTGAATGTCTGTTTCTATCAGTGACTAGGAGGAAGTTGGTGAGCCTGGGGTAGGGCTGTGAAAGGCAAATACAGATCAGCCCCTCTCAGGAAGCACATTTTAATTGTGATTAGTAAAGACTTTGCTCTTGGCTGAAGTTTTGGTAAGACAAATGTTTCACCTGGAGGGTGGAAGGGCCTAAGAAAGTATGCTAATTCTGCCCCAGACCAGGGACGTTAGCCAGAGGCCAGAGTTCAGGGAGGCCTCAGATGGCCCCACGTGAGGCTGACTCCACCAGCCACCAGGGACAGTCCCTAAGGGGGAACGATGGAGGCTTTCTCTGGACTCTGTCCCAGCAGTGCCCCCAGCTGGCCCTGTGACATTGGCCATGTCCCTCCCAGTGTCTGGTTAGTGTCCACAGGTGGCATTCACAGGAGGTTCTGAGCAGGCCACCAAAGACTGAACGTCTGGCTTTGGCAGGTGTGCAAATGATAAGCAATTAACTCTACATTATGAAAGACTCCACCTCTCTCTTTAGTTCCAGCCCCGGGGTTTAAACTCTTATAGCCAGAGCTCTTCCCCAGCCCCAAGGCCTTTCAACAGTGTTCTTGCCTTGGCGTGGGAGAGAACAGACCCTCAGGTGCCAGCCTGGAGGAGGCCTGGCCTCCGGCTTCCCTAAGCACCGTCTCCTGGACGCCAAACCTGGGGAGTCTTCTCTCTACTGTTCTCACAGCCAGGCTCTGTGTGTCCCCCTAGATGTGGCTGGCGTCCCAGAGGCCCAGCAGCGCTCCCCTCTCCTTTGTGCAGGACACTGGGACCTCAGCTCGCTTGGGGGACAGGAAAAGCCAGGTACCTTGTCCCTTCCAGAGAAACACCTGAGGTTCGAGATGAGCCTCCTTCCCCCCCCGTCCCAGGTTTATGATGTTTGTTCTGAGTCTGCTCAGAGAGACGACGTCAGGAGCAGACACGTCGGGCCCTGCCAGCCTCGGCCCTGGCACCTTCCCTAATCCTCCACACCCAGCCCTGCTCGCACATGCACACACTCACCCACAAAGTATCACACTTTCACACACACTTGTGTCAACACAGGTCCACAGCCCCACACCCCTCGTGCATACCCCTTTCGCACACACACTTGTGTCAACACAGGTCCACAATCCCACACCCCTCGTGCACACCCAGATGCACACACACACGATATTTGCATTCATTCCCACACATTTTTCACGCACACTCACGCTCACGTGATCTCATCCTACTCACGCACTAACGCACATGTCCTGGTTCACAAGCACAACCCTCACACGTGCACGTTCACATCCATTCATGCGCTCACTTGGAGACCCATCTTCCCTTTCCCAGTAACATGCCCTCCCTCAGGTGCACACAGATGCCCCCACCATACCCATGTGCTTGAGTCCCCCCGCCACACTCATGCACGCACAAGCATGCACACCTGCTCACGGGCGCAGGCTCACATCGTCACTGCACTCCCTCTCGCCCCCCGCAGACCCCTGACCTGTTGGTTTTTCTGTGTTGCAGTCCTCCCGAGAGCTGGCCGACAGCAGCGGCGAGTCCAGTGACCTCCAGCTGGAGGGCCCCACATCCCTTGGGGTCCTGGACAAGAGCCTTGAGGACTCCCGAGCAGAAGACAGGCCCCTGGTTTTCTTTGACCTCAAGATTGACAATGAAAGTGGGTTCTCCAATGACCACCCCCCACCCCTTTCTAGCTTAGTCCCTGAGTTCCCAGGATAAGTGCAGACAGAGCCATCTGCGAGTCCGGGAGAGCCCTGAGCTCTGGCCGATGGCTGTAGCCAGAGAGTGGGCAGAGCATTGGGCCTCCCAGGTATTTGAACTTGGTTCTTTGAATGAGGACATCTGCTTTGACCAGTGCCTAAAGGCTTAAGGCAAGAGCCTCCAGGGGTTCCCGCCCACCCCACCCCCATCTTAGGGAGCCTTGGGAACACGCTTCTAAACAGAAGCACGATGTGAAAGTCGCTGCTGTGAGACCAGCAGTCCAAGCAGAGCCTTAGGCCATGACTGCACATTTCTGAATACAGGGCCCATTCGTTCCACGGTAGCTGCATGGGGAGGCCAGCAGAGCCAAGGTCCCAGAGAAGTATGACCCCTTCTCCCTCAACTCCACAGTGCTTGCCCTGGCCCTGCAGAAGGCCAGGCCCTGTCCTGCGGCCTGGACTCAATGTGGTGCCAGCCCAGGCAGACGGAAGCAGCAGGTGTTTCCATAGGACAGAGGAGCAGTTTGCAGACCTCACTGGAAGATTCTGGGCCATGCTTTGCATGGAGTGGACTGGGCAGGTGTGCTGTCTGACCCAGTGCTCTGACAGCTGAGGGCCTTAGCTATGTGACTGATGGGATTGGAGGCCAGGGGAAAGGGAGTGGAGGGCTAGGCAGAGGCAGCGAGGGGTCTCGAGTGCAGGTGGGGGGAGGCTGGCAGAAGACAGACAGGAGGGGCCTGGAGTGAAAGCGTTTGGTGAGCTCGGGAAGGTGGCAGGGCAGGAGGGAGCTGGACTCCCAGCAGGGGAGCAAGGGGGCGGGGCGTGGAGGGCAGCCCCGCCTCCCCTTCCGAGCCAGGGTCAGAGCTGCACGTGAGGCTGATGTTTGCTTCCTGCCAGCAGGCCCCAAGGTGGGGTCTCTGGATGGGGGGATCGGCAGCCCTAGAGGACCCCCTGCTCCCGGTGGTACCTCGCGGTGCCCTTGGGGCCTCACGCTGCCCTTCTCTCCTGCCCAGCCCAGAAGATTAGCCAGCTGGCAGCCGTGAACCAGGAGAGCCAGTTCCGCGTGATCATCCAGCCCGAGGCCTTCAACATCTACTCCAAGGCCGTCTCCCTGGAGGTGGGGCTGCAGCACTTCCTGTGCTTCCTGGGCAGCATGCGCCGGCCCATCCTGGCCTGCTATAAGCTGTGGGGGCCCGGCCTCCCCAACTTCTTCCAGGCCCTGGAGAACATGAACAAGCTGGGGGAGTTCCAGAACGCCATCTCAGGCTTCCTGGCCACCCTGCCCCTCATCCGGGAGTGCGTGCCCGGGGCCAGCAGCTTCAAACTCAAGACTCTGGCCAAGACCTACCTGGCGAGAAACATGAGTGAACGCAGCGCCCTGGCAGCCGTGCTGACCATGCGTGACCTGTGCCGCCTCCTCGAGGTGTCCCCGGGCCCCCAGCTGGCCCCGCACGTCCACTCCTTCAGCAGCCTGCAGTGCTTTGCGTCCCTGCAGCCCCTGGTGCGGGCGGCTGTCCTGCCCCGGGCTGAGGCCCGCCTGCTGGCCCTCCACCTGGTCAGCTTCAAGGAGCTGCTGACCGCACACCGCCATGACCCGCAGGGGGGCCTGAAGAAGTACAACCGCTTCCTGAGCCTACAGACCCACTCGTTGCCCGCAAGCCAGCCTGCACTCAACCTGCAGGCTCTGGGCACCTACTTCGAAGGCCTGCTGGAAGGGCCGGCCTCAGCGGGGGCAGAAGGCATTGCTACCCCCTCTGGCTGGCCATAGCTTGGCAGAAAGGGCTTCCCAGCAGAGCTGAGAGGAAGGGATGACTGGCTCAGACCCTTCTGGGGACAGAGAGGGATGGGATCCCTGAGCCAGGCCCTGCCCATCACAGCATTCCCAGGTCCTGGTCCCCAGTTCTCCTTTGTCATTTGGTCCAGAATCAGTTTCCTTCTCTGGGACCAAATTCCTCTTCTCTAAAAATCCCACAGAGAAGGTTCCAAGGCCAAGCAGCCACCTGCCAAGCAGCCACCGCACGGATCCCTGTGCGGCCCTGGGAGCACGGGAAAGTTAGCTCACCAGACCCCTGGCCCCTCTCCTCCAGGTGCCAGAACCAGGGAGGCCCCTGGTGAAGAAGGCCTGGCCGCTGGGCTCTCGAAGTGGCCCCCGTATTGCCCCAGCCACCCGATTCCCACTCCCAAGGGTGTCCTTGCCGCTCCTCCCTGACCCCTGGCCGTGGCCCCAGGGGGGACCTTCTGACAGCACCCACAGACACTGCCTGCAACACCAGTGGTCCCACGGGTACATAAGTGCCTTTCAAACCAAACCACCCCTTAGGGATTTGGGTTCTCCTAGCTTTTGCCTGCCCGGAGGACAGCTCTGTTCACCTCCCCTCTGGAGTATTTTCACCCACAAAGGGCCTCCTCTCAGCAGAGACAGGGGCTGCTGCTCCATGCCTGTCCGTGCTTCCAGACTGTGACCCTTCCAAGCCTGCTTCCCTCCTCCTGCCCACACAGATGCCTCCCCTTAGTCGAGGCTTTGCCCTTCACGTTCTCTGCACTGTCCCCGGCCCCCAGCCCTCCTGAGGTGTGTCCTCCAACCCAGCGCCGCTTTCAGTGGACTCCAGGGACCCACAGCATTGGAATCTCCCAGCAAGCTGCTTTAGTGCATTCTCCAGACAATTCTGATGCCTGCCAAGTTTCAGAACCATTGCTCTGATAGACTGCTCCTCCAGGGAGAAGCAGAGAAGGTCCTGGCCCTGGCCCTGACTGTGTACATTGAGTGGAACCCAGGGAAGGGCCCCTTCCTGAGCCCGCACATCCCCACCTATAAAATGGGCTGGTTAGCCAGCATGGTCCTAGAGCTCGCATCCAGCTCTGCCATTCTGGGGTTTTAGGAATGGACAGCAGGCCTCTGAGGCAATGGTCAAGGAGGTTTTCATTCTTGAACCCTTGGTCCCAGCCCTAAGCTAAGGTCCCCAACCTTGTGGCCACACTAGAGGTCAGCAGCAGAACACAGGCAGGTCAGGCCAGTCTCGTCTGACTAGCAGAACCACTGTTCCTTCCCCTCTGCCCCTCTCCCATCCCTCTTCCTTGGCCCCCTGATACTGGGATGCCTCCATGGCTTCAGCTTTCACGTGGGTGAAGGCTTTGCACCCACACCCCTGCCCCCATCCAGCGGGGGGCCCCTGAAGACCCACTGAGGGATCACACAGGAACGTGCCGCCACGTTGAGAGTGCTGGCTCTAACAGTGAACTCTGATGCATTTCAAATAAGATTCCGATTTAAAGTAGGCGCTGGCTCTGAAGCTCAGTAAAACAGGCTGGTGGGTGAGGGGAGGAGGGGGCTGGAGCCTCAGTCTGGCTGTGATGACCATCTTGGCAACAGCAAGGCAGCGCTTGGACCACTCCTCACAGCATCTTCCCCTCAGCCCCACCTCGGGACTGAGCCTGCCAAGCCCAGCCTCACAATGCTTTCTACCTTCAGATGGAGTTGATCACAGGTTTTACAGCAAAGGGCTGTTCTGCCCTCTCTCCACTGTCACAGCCTCTAATAAAGATGTGAATCGTCAAAGCCTGATGCACCAATCACAAACTCTGCTCAACCCACCCCAGGAGCCACTGAGCAGCCTCTTGCCTGGCGAAGGGGCACTTGCTGGCATAGCTGTTCTTTGTGGGGTGTCTTTCAGGACTTAGCAGAGCTGAGAGGCCCTTGTTGCTCAGGTATGGGCCTCAAGGATAAGAAACCCCATTCCAAGTGGGCAGACCAGGGTGGGCCTGTCTGGGATCATGTCCAAAGCGGGGAGCCACCTGGAGGGAAAGAAGCACCAACTTCAAGAATTACCCCCTAGAGGGAGTCAGGGACCAGAGACCAGGGTCTGTAGGAACTTTACCTCTGCTGGAAAATCCTGTACCCTGGTTGTCACAGATGGAGTTCTCATTAGTGCCTGCAGGGATTCCCCTGGCACAGGCAGTGTAGGAATTAGCAACCCCCCTGGCCTGGGTGACGAGCCAGGTAATGTGATTTGAGCAGTGCCACTGCCCTTAGCCCCACCTACCTGTCCCAGGTGCCCAAATTCCAGTGCTGGAGTTTTAGCGTCTAATTGCAAATCCAAATATGTCTCTTGTGCTTCATCTTTGAATTCTATCTCAGGTTTATCCATGTCAACTAACCACAAGCTTGCTGGGCTAGAAGTCAGGACGCTGAGTTTCAATCCTCACTTAGTTGCCTCTGACTCTAGTCTGGTGCATCAAACTTGTCGATGCTTAGGCTCTGACTCTGTAAAATGGTATAATATGGGTTGTTTTTACCTCATAGGATCTTGTGTGAACCAATGAGAAAATGTTTCTGAAAGTAGCCTTTTAATGTGTGAAGAACCACACAAATGTAAGATCTTATTTTACTGACAACAAAGATGACAGTGTTATTGCTTTATAAGTTATAGAAAAATAAACAGATATTGGATCTTAGCAAACAGAGGACTTCGGCTTGTCTTCAGGGGAATAAAGAACAAGATCTGGCATGGAGCAGACAACTTAGTGGGGCTGGAGGGTCCTGGGTCCCAGGGAGCCAGGAAGGAGAGCAGGGGAGTCTGCCTTGGAGTGGTTGAGCAGTAGGTGACTTTGTGTCCCAAAAATACCCAGATGGGAGGTTTCAGCCACACAGACCTGGAGCAGACAACAGCTTTCCTGTGGCAGCCCAGCTCAGCCCTTCCCAGCCCTCCCCTACTCTCAGGCCCCTTTTTGAGGCCCAAGAGCTCAGTGAGACCCCCCAGGAAGGTCGCTTGAAAATCTGCTTTAACCTCAACCGTGCTCTTCCTTTTAACTGCACAAAACTCAGCCCCTGCTCCAGTGCTTGGCCCTGCTGTTCCCCCACCCTGCACCCTCCCCTCATCCAGCCCTGGCCGGCCCCACCTCCACCCTTATTCCTACCCTAGACTCACTCTGACCCCTAGTCCCAACCTTGACAATTCTCCATAATTCAGAGTTGACCCTTCACCCTACGCCTCCCGCAGGCCCCCCCCCCCCCCCCCCCCCCCCCCCCCCCCCCCCCCCCCTTAGGCTTGTCTCCACCTCACACCCCGGCTGCCCTGTGCCTAGAGGAAGGGGTCCTTTCTCACCTCTCTTCAGTCCTCACAATTAAGGGAACTACACAGCTAGTGACATGAAATGTCAAGTCAGAGAGAGTCCTACCTTGTGGATCCTGCCCAGATGGAAGGGGAGCTGAGCTAGAGCAGCTCCCAGACTCACCAGCAGAGGGCGCTGCAGCCCCACAGGACCTGGTGTCGAGGCTGCTGTTCCCCGCGGATGGCGAGGGGTGTGGTGTCAGATAAAGGCTCTGGGTAGCAGCAGTCTTTTTCAAAGTGCCACGCATACTTCCGGTGGTGTGGGAGATATCTTTAGGTAGATGGTGCATGGAGAAACATTTTTAACGTGTATTTGTATTTATTTTATTTATATTTATAATATAAATATATTTGTATTTATTTTAACATCTATTAGATGTATTTATTATTTGTATTTATTTTAACATCTATTAGAAAAAATAGAGCCAGCCTATCAACACCGTGATTTCTGGAACATGGTTGCTCAGAATGACGCTAAAATGGGATTCTTTACAGGTCTAATTTAAAGACAAATATGAAGTAACTACAAGCTCAGAAGGAACACAGGTATAGCAAAACTTGTGACTGTGGAAGTGGGGGACTTAATTTTGGGAAATACTGGGTTACCAGGGGCATTCGAGTGAGAATTAGAGCTAAGGTTAGGGCCCACATTGGAACCGGAATAAGATGGGGTGGGGTTAGGAGTTGGGGTGAGGCCTAAGGTTAAGATTTGGGGTTATATCAAATTTAGGGTCATATTTGGTCATTAAGGTTAGGAACTGAGTTAGGAATTTAATTAGGAATGGAGTTAGATAGGGAGTTCCCTGGTGGCCTAATGGTTAGGATTCGGTGCCATCACTGCTGTGGCCTGGGTTCAATCCCTGGTCGGGGAACTAACTGAGATCCTGCAAGCTTCGTGGCATGGCCAAAATATATATTTAAAAAAAAAAAAAAAAAAGGAATGGAGTTAGAGTCACTCTTCAAGATACAGGTGTCACTTTAGTAACAGAAAAGTCCATGAAACTGTGGACAGATGGGCAGGAGCTTCTGAGGAGGACCCCCTAATACAGAGCCTCAAGCGTAGTCAGACTCCCTCCCTATCCTCTTCTAGAAGCATCCATCAGGGGTTCCTCCCGAGCTCACTGAACCCTGGAGAGAGCACAATGACCCATCCCATCCAGGTGTGAAAGCCTCCTGGACAACCAGGTGAATAAAGCTCCCAGCTAACACGACTGAAAGATAACTACGTGCTGGACACTCTTTTCTCATTCAGCACAGCTAACCTCATTTAGTCTCCCCAGACACCCTATGCGGTTACATCGTCATCCTCGTTCTGTCCAGGACATGGGATGGGGGTTAGGGCAGGAAGGTGGAGTACCTTGCTCTAGGTCATTCAACTTGAATGTGGCAGAGTTGGGATTTGCCCCACAGGGAGACTGTGCCTACATTGGAGCCCTCTGTGGGCCACACTGCCCGACGAGTTGCCATGCATTTGGGGGGGGGGGGGTTTCCACCCTCTCCTTCCCGTGCCCTCCAGGTCTGTTGATCTCACATGATGCAGGGCCCAGCAAACTCACACCCCAACCTTCTGGCCCCAGTGTCCCAGAATTTGAACTTATCCTAATTCTATTTTTTTCTTTAAGGACTGTGCTTCTCCAACGTTTTTGCCCATTACTGCCCCCCCTGAGGAGCCTTTTTAGACAAATTTTTTCCTAGTCATGACTCCCCCAATGAAAGTTTAGTACTGTGATTCCTTAGGATTTTCTATATACAAGATTAGGTCATCTGCAAATAGAGATCATTTTGCTTCTTCCTTACACAGATGTACTGTATATCTGTTTATGTTCTGTGGTCCTTTGGAGGGTCAGAAACCACTGGAATATCTAAGGTTGTTAGTGCCCTCTCCACCCTGGACCAATTTTCATCCTCTCTGGGGCAATGTCCCCGTTGAGAATGCATGATTTAGGGTAAAAGCCTATCCCCAGTTATAATGCAAGTACGAAGTGTCATGGTAGGTGTTAGCCCCTCCATGTGGCTCAGTTCACAGGTCACGGTGAGGTGAGAATAGGCTACAGGGAGCTGGGAGGGAACGTGGGCAAAGGTCTCTGAAGACATGCTTCCCCGGGGTGGCCTTGGTCCTGGACTCAGTCTCAGGCCCAGGTCCAGGATGAGCCTGGGGACAGGGAGGGACGGGGTCAGCACCATCACTTATTTTTGTCTCGGAAACCAGGTGTCAGCTCCAAACCTTTTGGACCTGAATAAAGCAAATGCCTGTGGGGACTCTACTGAGAGAAGGATCAAGAATTTCAACTGACTCCCCCTCTCGAAAAACAAAACAAAAAGTTTGAAAATCTCTACCCACTCCTACAAAATGCATTTGCTGCCAACACAGGGAAAAATTCCTTCATTCTTGGCTCAAGGAACTTCCTTAAACTCAGCCCAGAAGAATTCTTTAAAGACCAGCTGCCTGGACTTTGCTAAAGTCAGTTTATAAATATTATAAATATCCCAAACTTGATAGCCAAGCAGATTACAAAAGCTAGCTAGCAAACCACAGAAATTTTCCAGAAAGTTATCCAGCCAAACCAGTGTGATGGGAAATATTGTGAAATCCTGTGTCGCTTGTCTGATTGTCTAAAACTGAGCTCTTTGTGCAGACCAAATTCAGAGGGCCCGGGGGTAGAATTTACCCGAGGGCTGACACTCTCCTGGAGTTCTACAGCCATAAAGCCCTGGCTTGACACCACAGTGGACTGATTCTAGAGTAAATCAGACCAACCAAAGAGGAGGCAGTGGGTAGGTGAGGCTGGGCCCACGGTGGTGGTGCCCTCGTTGAGTCTGCTTGGGGTGGGCAAGGATGCCGAGTAGTAGTTAGGACGTGGGCTTTGGAGGGACCTGGTTCAAATCCCAGCTCTGCTGTGTGACCTTGAACAAACTACTTAGACTCTGTGGTCTCATAGGCAAACTGGGGGTGACAATACATACTTAGAAAATTGTGAAGGTTAAATGAGATACACAAAGCACTAAAATTTGTGAATTGGCAATCCTCAATAAAAAAAATAACTCTATACATCCAACGCCACAGAGAAGGAATTTGCTGACTCCTGGAAAGCACTGCAGCCTTCTCCCCTCATCTCCTCCCTCCCCTCCCTCCCTTCTGGTTCCAGTCCATTTAGGATTTGGGCAACTCTGTCCCTAAATCCTTCTCCTGGTGCCTCTGTCCCCATCTCTCCAAACCTCCTCCACTGTCTCCTCTACCCCGACGGGGTAGGGGTCACCCTACAGGCTGGAGGGATTTACGGTCCCCTCCCTCCTCAGCCCCGACCTGGGTACCAGACACAGCCATCTACAAGCAGGTCACTTTCTGGCAGCACCAACAAAGATGTGGGTTGAACAGAGGAGGTCCTGGGAGAAGCAAATAAACACATCAGGTTTCCAGCTGGGTCTGGAGATAAGGGCTGGGGGGAGGGGTGGGGATGGGGAGACAGGCTGATGTATCTCAGGCGCTGCACCGGTTCACCCTTCCCAGCCTGTCCATGCTGGTTTTGCAGGCGGCAGGAAAGCCTATTGGGGGAACTTCAAAGAGGACATTGCAGAGAACTGCGGGGGGGTTGGGGGAGGCTGTCCCTCCTGGGGATGAATTTGGGTAGGGTTAGGCCTGATGAGGGAGAATGTGACAGATCTGAGCTACTGTCCCAGCTGACCAGTGGGGAGGGATTGTTAGCGCCAAGGCACAGAAGAGGAAACTGGAACCAAGAAGGGAGAGAAGCTTTTCCAAAAGTCTCACAGGAAGTCAGTGGAAAAGCCCCCAACCCCTGATCTCCTGCTCTGGATCCCCTTACACTGAACTCTGCCTGGTTGTTACCAAGATGTGGCCATTAGAACTGGATTTGCCCGGGTGCAGATTGAAGGCACGTCTGCATCGGGCCAAGACCCACCCTAGGCGGGGCTCTCCTTCCTCCAAACCTCTGCCCCAGCTGGCGGCCTGGCTGGGGAGCAGCGTGCTGCGATTAGGGCTGCTCCAATCCAGGGCACAACCTCGTCCCTCCCAGACATGTGCATGGCTCTGCTTCTGGTGCCCACGAGCCCTGGAGGAGGACTGCAGTGGGCTAATACAAGAGACCTGAAGTAGGGGCACCCGTCCCACGCCAGAAACAGCTGCCCTCTGCCATTGGAGAGGCCACATCTCCAGAGAGTCTCAAGGGCTTCCTAACCAGCAAGATCAGCGATGGCCACTGAGGTCAGCTTGCCTTTGACCAGACTGCCCTGGGGAGGGCATCTCAGAGAAGCTGAGTGCTGGGGGCATTTCCCGGCCCTACCTGCTCTGTGACCTCCCTCTTGGCCTGTCTTCTCTCCAATAAAGCG